TAAATATGTAATTGTTACACTCACATCTGCTTCCTATGCCTCCCAATTTCTCTGCTTTCTCCTTTCTTTCTTTTACCTTCTGCAGGCTGGCTTTTGCCCCCACTATGCCACCAAAATTATTCTCAACAAGGCCACCAGATATCACCCAAAATACCAATTTCTGTGCTTGATCTATTTTCTGGCCTTATCCCTTCTCTTCCTGAAATGTCTGTCCCTCTTTGGGCAGGCGAAGCAATGGTCCTATCTCATTCTATGGCTAGGACACTACAGCCAGAAAGGTTCTAGCTAGTTATAGAAGATGAACCCACTCTCCAGGCTTCAAATCCAGATCTCCCTACATCCTCACTTCTGCAATTGTGAGATGTGGTTTTTGTTTGTTTGTTTAAAACTCATTCTTGCTCTGTAGCCCAGACAAGCTCACTGCAGCCCAGGAGTCCTGGGCTCGAGCCTCTGGAGTAGGTACTAGCTAATCTTTACATTTTATCTTGTAGAAATGATGTCTGCTATGTTGTCCAGTCTAACCTCTAATTCCTAGGCTTAAGCGATCCTCTTGCCTTTGTTTTCCAGAGGATTACAGTTGTGAGCCACTATGCTAGCACCCAGCCTTGAGCTGCTGCTTTTTTTTTTTTTGAGACAGAGTCTCACTTTGTCACCTTTCATAGAATGCCATGGCATCATAGTTCACAGCAACCTGAAACTCCCGGGCTTAAGCGATTCTCTTGCCTCAGCCTCCCAAGTAGTTGGGACTACATGCACCTAACACAATGCCTGGCTATTTTTAGAGATGAGGTCTCACTCTGGCTGAGGCTGGTCTCCAACCTGTGAGCTCAGGCAATCCACCCTCATCGGCCTCCTATGTCCTGGGATTATAGGCATGAGTTCAGCTTCTTCTTTTTTTTTTTTTTTTGTGGTTTTTAGCCAGGGCTGGGTTTGAACCCCCCACCTCCGGCATATGGGGCCAGTGTCTTACCCCTTTGAGCCACAGGCGCCACCCTTCAGCTTCTTTTTGAGTGTGATTTTTAGAATCCTTGGTGATGTTGGAAAATTCTTCCAGTCTTTGTTTTTTTAAGCACCCTATCCACTTCTCTTCCAGTGTTAAGATTGTTTTACTAGAAGAATTTTGTTTAGTTTTACTTTCTAGAAAGAAATTTCTACTGCATTTGATTTTTCTCCACTGTTGCTAATCTAATCAGTCCTCGTGGCCTTGGTTGCAACAAGGCTCTAATAGGGAGGACTCTGTCACTGGGTGGTGCAGAGGCGACTGGAACTGGGCTGTTTCCATCTCTGAGATGGAAGGAAAGCAGTTCTGAGGAACTCGCCGGAAGATTCCTATTTAGAGAGGCTCAGAACTAGGCTTTGGGGTCAGGCAGACCACCTTCGAGGTCTTGGTGGGTCACTTGCCTGCATTACTTCTTGGCCATCAGCATCATCATGAAACACATGTATAAATAAAAGTTGCTTCCAGATGGTGAAGATTTAATAAACATACATAATGCTCTGACCTCATTGCCTTACACACAGTAGGCAGGTAGTTAATTGGTAGTTACTTGTGTCCTTAATTTAAACTTATTAAACATTTTCCTGTAAAAGACCTCATTTGGGCCTCCCAATTATTTAACTATACTTGGTATCCGCGTGTGGATTATTTTTTATCCTCATTATATTGAGGCAGAAACAGAATATCAGAGCGAAAGCACTTGGGTTCAAAGTAGGGGTCAACTCGAGCAGAGCAGTTTCACCCTGTGCTGGAGACACCGCGCATCTCGAGCAGCTCTGTGCCCCCAGGGCCCAGACCTCGCGGGCCGCCACGGCCTCAGCGCCATCTTTGAGCCTGGCACCAGTGCCTTTTATCCGCACTTCCCTTCGCCCCCGTGCAATTGCTTCTGCCCAAACCTTGCCCTTTCTGGGTATAGGGTGTCTAAAGCCAGTCATACTTGTAGGTCTGGCCGAACAGAGTCACTTATGTCTTTCTCTTGGGCCTTGGAGAATGCGTTCTGACCAATTCAAAAATGGCGCCGTCAGCCTGAACTTCCTAGTCTTTAGCTCGTGAAGGCGCGGGGACAAAGGTCATGACTTCAGTGCGTCGGCGCTAGGGGGAAATGGGCGGAGCCGTCTCCGTGGCAACCCGCGCGCAGCCGGGCCGCAGCGCTGGGCGCGAAGAGCTAGTGTTGCGGCGCTGGCGACGGGCGGGGCTGCGAGCGCCGAGGGGCCCGGGAGGCCGGGGCCACTGCAGGATGAGACCCTGGGCGTGGCGTCCGTACCCTCACAGTGGAGGGGCGTCCAGGGCATCCGCGGGGAGACGGTGAGGGTGCGGGCCCCGCGCAGAGCTACGCGGCGGGAAGGCTGGGGCGCGGCACGTTGGCTGGGCGAGGTTCTGTGGTCCCACCGTTTTGCTTTAATTGTTTTAATCCTCACGAACTAACCCAAGTGGTATCTGGCCCCAGTTTTTCTCTAATCTTTGAGGAAAACGAAAAAGTACTTTTTGAAGGATTTTCTGTGAACTGCAGTTTTTAGACACTTCTAAACTAACTTGTTTAAAAAGAAAGACCAGGCTCAGTGCCTCAAGTGGCTAAGG